ATCATCATCATCATCATCATCATCATCATCATCATCATCATCATCATCATCATAAGTAAGTATATGGGCTTGACGCCCCTATCAACACTTGAGGGCCAACTTAAGAGGCGAGGCCTCCGAATGTGACGTCCGTCTCCGATAGCACGGAGCCAAAAGGGTTGAGAGCTTTGAAAACTCAACAAAATAAAGTGAGTAAAAAGGGCATTTTGAGTTTTTGTAAGGGTGTTCTGTTATCTCAGTTGGTATCATGCTGAATTACGCAGCAAATGTCCCTGGTTCGAATCCCAGACTGAGCGTTCTTAAACTCGTGTCGTTTTGTGGAGGTTTTAAGCCTCCCAATCCATTTGGCTCGGACCTATCGGAAACGGACGCTACATTCGGTGATCCAGCGTCTTGCTTACTAGTTTTGTAAAGTAAGACACAAAAAACCAGTGTCTGTTTCAGTATGTGTAAATTTATATTATATCTATGTAGGTATGAATTTATCGTCATGGGACTTAGACCATGATGGAATGTAACCTTTTTGTAATACTCCTCTTCAAGGTGCATTTATTAAATGAGTCTTAAAGCTGCTCAAACAGGGCCGGGTAGTTTTCCTAAATTCAAACATTTCCCCCTTTTAAAGGAAAAAGTGTATTATAAAACAACAATCAGGTTTTCCCAGTCGTCTTAAAATTGTGAGACATTAGTTAGCCCTTATAATCAGCACCATTACGTTATATTCCATAATTATGTACGTGTTTATGGCCCCTATTTATTGACGTATTTGTGTTCCTTATTAACGTAATATAAGTGACGCTGTTGTACCCCCCCCCTTTCAACGGGGAAAAATAAAAGCGGAAAGTTCGATTGTAAAATAACCCCAACCCTCATTCCCCTCCCCTTCCCAGGTCACTACAAAGTGGACATCAGCTGTCGTCGGTCCAGAGACAACGTTGTGGTAGCTGACCGCTACTGTAACATCTTCGAGAAGCCTGACGACTTTGGCGCCGCCTGCAACGTCCAGTCGTGTGGGCCCGTGTGAGTAGCGTGAGCTCTTCTCTGTTTTGTTGTAGTAAGAGTTTTACGGCGTTTGCAACACGTCAAGTGCGTCATAAGGGTGTAAAAGATTCTAATTAATCTAATTACAGGCGTCACTTGAGACTCATCCCCAAGTGCCAGATGTGATAGACTTTGTCGATCATGGTTCTCCCTTTATTTTATTTTTTTGCACGCAACATTATCCGGAATTTTCCCCTGTCACCCATCTGTTTTAGGCTCTCTAAGATATTTGTGCTGAATCTGCCCTTGCCTCATTTTGCCTTTTATTAAAGTGAAAGGGGCATAAAAAGCAGGAGGACAGATACGGACGATAGATGTTTGAAAGGGGGCTCTCGTGGCCTAGAGGTTAAAGTGTTGGTCTCTCATTCAAAGGTCCCGGGTTTGAACCCTTTGCCCCCTCCTCTGGGCTCCTGATTCTTTCTGCAGCCTTTCTACTGCTACTCCTTCGCTTCTTCTTACTGCTGTCTTTCAGCCACACCCCTGATCTTCTGGTAGGAAAGATCTGCACCTAGCCTTCTCGGACAAGGGCGAAAAATCTCGGAGGGCCCGTGTGCAAGTTGCGCACGTTAAAGATCCCTTAGTGGTCTAAAATCGATAAGAGTAGGCTTCAGCCGCCACCCGGGCAAAATTCAAAATTTCCTACCAACTGATAATATTAGGTGTCTCCCGCGCGCTCATATGACCGTATGCAGTTGCAAGAGCCGTAAAACACTTTACAAAAACAAAACAAACAAGATGTTTGAAAGGAAAGAAAGAACAAACCACCCCAGAACACCCACCAACTACCCACTATTATTGCCATTTTGCTTTCGGGGTGAGAGTATACTTGAGCCCTGCTTCTTCTCTTGGTAAGTAATAGTAAGAGTTAACGACCCTATCAACTTTTAGGTTATTACTTAGTAGACATGACTTTTAAATTAAGCGCCCGTCTCCGATAAGAACTAGACAAATGAGTTGAAAGCCTTAAACCCCTCCCCCTCCCCCACCCCACCAAAGCGATGTGAGTTCAAGAACACCCTGTCCTGGAATCCACACTATAGGATTGCCAACATTTACTCTTTTATAGTTCTTTTCTTTTTTAGCTTACCGATATCTTGTTTCTGTTTGAGAGGGATGGAAGTAATGTTTTAAAGAATCTGAACATTTTGGCTTTTCAATGATTTAAATTAGTCTCAGCTTGGAACAGCGTCTGTAGTCTAATGGTTAGGCTACCCGACCCGTAATCATGAGATAGCGGGTTTTAGAGTTCGAGCCTCTCCACGATCCAACGATGTGTCTTTGGGTAACAAACCTTACATGAAGTTCATTTTTAAATTTATTGGCTCGGTCCTTTAGAAAATGGACATTAAACTCGGAGATTCTGCTACTTCAATAACCTAATAGTGTTAAATATTTACCGTCAGTAAATATCATCATTTCGACTTTTCCACCTTGGTATTAGGTATACGATTCGTAGACCGCCAAGACGAGCTCTCCATCTTTATCGGTTCAGAGTGATTTTCTCTAGCCGTGTCCCATTTTCAAGCCTGCATATTCCCGAGAATCTGGGGATGTTTATGAGCGTTCTATGGTCTGCTGAGGTAGTAATATTTATAGTTTAAAGCGTAGACAGCTTGTGAGCGAGCGGGGATATTCCCTATTCTTCTTCTTCTTCTTCTTCTTCTTCTTCTTCTTCTTCTTCTTCTTCTTCTTCTTCTTCTTCTTCTTCTTCTTCTTCTTCTTCTTCTTCTTCTTCTTCTACTACTACTACTACTACTACTACTACTACTACTACTACTACTACTACTACTACTACTACTACTACTATTATTATTATTATTATCATTATAACTTTCACTTTTAACAAATTCAGCTGGGAGGCCGGAGCGTGGGGCTCGTGCAGCAAACAATGCGGCAGCGGAACACAGACGAGGACAGCTCAGTGTGTGCAGAAGTCGGTGAGCGGCGACACTGTGGTCAGTGCCGGAAGATGCCCCGCCCACAGGAAGCCAGCGACATCACGTGCCTGTAACATTGCAGCTTGTGGAGCCGACTGGGAGGCTTCTGCATGGTCTGAGGTTCGAGTCTCCTCGTCGTGGTCGTTTTAGTCAGTGTCCTTCTCTCTATTTCGTTTAATCGTTTATTTATTTATTTATTTATCTGCTTGTTTTGTTAGTTTGATTGTTTGGTACGAGTTCTACGCATACTCGAAACGGCTCAACGTGATATGAGCGTGCAGGACTCAAGTGTTTATTTTTTCACGTTAGTTAACAGCACTGCTTGCCTTTTGTTAGTTTAACTCCTTCGCTGCCAGACCTGTTCCGTAATCCTACCAAAGAGTCCAGGGTAATCTCGGGTAAGGTTATTAATAGTTAAAGAGTTGAACTGGGGCTCTCGTGGCCTAGAGGTTAAGGTGTTGGCCTCTCATTCAAAGGTCCCGGGTTCGATTCCGGGTAGCGACCAAAAAATGTTCTTCTCTAAAATTGTCTCCTTTCACCTCCTTTCCTGAAATCTAACAATGTTCTGTTATCTGCTTTCATTTCCGCTTTCTGCCCCCACCCACTCACCTCCTTTGCCCCCTCCTCTGGGCTCCTGACTCTTTCTGCAGCCTTTCTACTGCTACTCCTTGGCTCCTCCTAACTGCTGTCTTTCTGCCACACCCCTGATCTTCAGGTAGGAAAGATCTACACCTAGCCTTCTCGGACAAGGGCGAAAAATCTCGGAGGGCCCGTGTGCAAGTTGCGCACGTTAAAGATCCCTTGGTGGTCTAAAATCGATAAGAGTAGGCTTCGGCCGCCACCCGGGCAAAATTCAAAATTTCCTACCAACGAAAAAGTATTAGGTGTGTCCCGCGCGCTCATATGACCTTATGCAGTTGCGAGCGCCGTAAAACCCTATACTAAACAAACAAACAAACAAAGAGTTGAACAAAGGAATACAACCTAGCTAGGTAGGGAAAAGACATGAAATTGCTTGTGGTGCAATGGGTAGGGCTGTGAGGGGGAGGGGGGGATCCGGTGTCCGAGTGGTTGGTGAGTTCAGATGTACAAATAATATCAAGCAAGTGTTGATGACCCGGGGATTAGATGGGTGGTCGCCGGGTTTTGTCCTTGAGTAAACCACGATAACCGTGGCAAAAAATTAAAAAGGATAAAAAATGGAGGCTGAATAGTGGTGACTAACAATGCCATATTTGTATATTTGTCTGCATTGATGTATGATGGTATATTTGGTATTCTTCATATTATGTATGCTAATATTTATTTGTGTATGCATTCATGTTTGCATTTTATGCCATTTTACCCGAAGCCTCTCTCTGCGGAGATCAATTAAGTTTAGTTAATTATTATTTCAGTATATATTTTTTAAAATAAAAGTCGGGTTCGAGCTTTTCATGGGGACTGAAGAAATAATCTGTTTGGGAAGTTGGTTTTAAAAATAAACAAAGAATGGGGTTGCCGTTTCTTTTTCAAAAACGGAGGGTCCATGTCTGCACTACAACTGTCTTGGGGCTCTGAAGCGAAGAGTAGATTAAATAAACCTCTCTGTTTCCCCAACTTTTACATTTTCTAGTGTTCTATGACGTGCGGCCGTGGAGTACAGACAAGAGAGGTTAAGTGTGTGAGCGGTACACGGGAGGTGGCCGTGTCAAACTGCGCTCAGAGCAAGCCGGAGGCGACTCGCACTTGTGTCAAGACCGTTTGTGATACCACTATTGGTGAGTCATGTCTACGTGACTTTTTCTTTTGTTTTTGGGTTTTTAAATACGTGATAGATAGATAGATAGGTAGATAGATAGATAGATAGATAGATAGATAGATAGATAGATAGATAGATAGATAGAAAGATAGATGGATGGATGGATGGATGGATGGATGGGTGGGTGGATGGATGGGCGGACGGACGGACGGACGGACGGGCAGACAAATTTATGACGAGAAGCAAGCAATTACCATTATTAACAAGCTTCATGTCCAAAACACGTTCTATCAGAAATCAAACAATAACGGTTAAAAGAATATAACAGAGGAAATAAAGACAAGAAAACTAGCAATTGTCTCTTGTAAATAAAGGTAACTAAGCATGCACGCCATTTTATCAAAACCGCCAAATTTTTAAAAAATCTGCTCAATCCCCCAGGCGGAGCAGACTGTCATGATGTGGAGCCACACTGCGAGGACTATGACGTCACCACCTGCTCCGACTACGCCACCTGGGCCAGGTCAAAGTGCGCGCTCACGTGTAGCTTCTGTTCCAAGGACGGAGGGTCAGGTACAGTGTCACAGAAGATTGGTACCTTTCTTTTTGTCTATTTCACCACCAAAATAATTCAAAATAGTATTGTAAAAGTAACTTTTAAAAAACTGTATTATGAATTATTTAGGTGGTTAATAAAGAATCTAAACAAATACATTCATAATATGGTAAAAGTAAATTTTTAAAAAGCGTATTATGAATTATTTAGGGAGTCAAGAGATAATTTTTTAAAAAGATTCATAATATCATGAAAAAAGTAACGTAAGTTCTCCGTTCGGCTTGAGCATTAGATACATTGATTTTTAACGGCATTTGAAAGACACACAGGTCATAGGTGTCAGAGACTAGATGTGTTACTCCTAAAGAGTAACATACAAAGAGAAGAAAGAGCAGAGATAAAGAAGACATATGTTTGATATGAATTGAGGAGCAAACCTCATTCAGAGCACCCACCAATCACCCTTGCCTCCGTTCGGAATGCTTTCGGTCTCATACGCGAGGGTGTCAAATAAATCTTTACCCTGACTATGACCAAAAGCAAAGAAGAAAGTTGAAATCTGACACTTAAAATACCACCTCTCTACAAAGTAAACCTGCAAATTGATAATTATATTGAGCAATTTTGACTCTTGCTTAAGAAGTACTTCGGACATAAAAGCAGCATAATAATGATATTATTTATTTCACTTGTCCTTTTTATCCACAGGGTCGGGCAGTAACAACGACAACTGTGCAGACAAGTCGACAGACTGTGCGGGATACGGAAGTAGCATATGTACAGGAGAGTACGCGCAGTGGGCCATTCAGAATTGCCCCAAATTCTGCGGCAAATGCAGCAGCAGTACCTCGGATACTTCCACCTCTAAGACAGGCTCTTCTTCATCGTCTTCGTCGTCTTCTTCTTCTTCATCTTCTGCTTCGTCGTCATCGTCTTCTTCTTCCTCATCTTCATCTGGTTCGTCTTCGTCGTCGTCATCATCATCATCGTCGTCTTGTGAGAATAAGAACACCGATTGCGCGGCGTACGGCAACAGTGTCTGTACGGGCGAGTACGCCCAGTGGGCTAGCGAGAACTGCGCCAAGTTCTGTGGCGCTTGTCAAACCTCTCAGGACGCCTCGGAGCAGTCGTCTGATGACAATACTTCTCCTTCTTCCTCTTCTTCGTCATCCTCCTCTTCTTCTTCGTCTTCTTCCTCGTCATCATCGGATGCATCCACTTCAGGGGGAGCTGCTGATTCTGTTGTCGACAATAGCAATAGCATCAGCGACAACAGCAACAACAACGACAACACCGATGTTTCCAGCAACAACAACAACAACAACGATGTTACCAACACCACCAACAACAACAACGACAACGACAAAACTGACGAGAGCTGCGTTGATAAGAACACCGACTGCAGTGCCTACGGAAATTCCGTCTGTAGCGGAGAGTACGAGGCTTGGGCTAAAATGAACTGCGCCAAATTCTGTGGCGCGTGTGGTGGGTCCTCTTCTACATCTTCCTCCTCCTCCTCCTCCTCATCCTCCTCCTCCTCCTCTTCATCCTCCTCCTCCTCCTCTTCATCATCATCATCATCATCATCATCGTCGTCGTCGTCATCGTCGTCAAACACAGCGTCATCTGCTGGTACAGACACTGCGTCTTCCGACAGTTGTGCCGACAAGAACACGGCATGCTCCGCCTATGGCCAAAGTGTCTGCACAAACGAGTACGCCGAGTGGGCCAAGCAGAACTGTGCCAAATTCTGCGGTCACTGTGGCAAGGAGGAGGTTTCAACAACTGAGGCAACCAAGGCAGAAGATAATGCAGGTAACGTGCTCAAACGAGGAGACCACGGTGGAGGTTGGTTGGGGGAAAAGGGTTTGGGGGGGGGGGGGCGTAGAAGGGAAGAAAGGGAGAAGTAACAATATGGGAATTATCATGAAAGCGTTAGTTCAATGGCTAAGCTACGTGCATATTTTGCTGTTATCGTTTTACAGCGAACCAGAACAACTTTCAAGTGATTTTCTCGAATATATCATATGATATATTTCTGTAATATGGCTGCCATGTTCTTGTCAGTGTGTGCAGATTAGAGAGTCGTCGCTGATCAAAGGTAGATAATAATATATGTTTATTTATTCTACAAGCAATGCATCTTCGAGCTCCAAGTATGTATTAAAGTTTCATCTAAAGAAAAATAAACATGCCACGCCAATGATCGGACACATCGGAGAATAGACAAATGAAAAAAAGCAAACCTAGCAACAACAACAAAAACCAAAACTCATATCTGTTGGCGTATTATTTTCTATTAGCTTAAGATGAAATCAACTACAAATAATTTTTTTTTTAAAATCCAGTTAAACACAAATAAAGTGACGATTCTACGTTATTTTCAATATTTCCCCCCTTGAGTTCCATTGCGTGACTTTGCCCGTTTTGCATGTATACTCTAGTACTTATCCTTTATTACAGCTCATCACAATTTTGCAGAACATGATATAATGGTAAAAACTTGTTGTTTTTTTCTCTCTAGCCACACTGCAGTTTACCCAAGCCACCAGAATTAGAGTTTCGGCATAGTAAAAAATCCTTCATGTCATTGTAATAGTATAACTTTAGAATTTTATAAAGTAAAGATAAAAATACCCAAACATGTAACTGCAAGTTAACATTAACTTTTCACCAGAAAAAGAACGAAAAGGGTAACAATTTAAAAAAAATTGTCTAGTTTCTGTTCTAATATTATTATAACGTGCTTAAAAAAAACACATTTATATAAATACACATAATTTCTGCCCCGATCGCTAAGCCAGCATTATGCCCAAGTGAAGTTGCGAGTCAGTTCAGAGGTCTCCAAAGTGAGCTTGTCCAAAAAGAGTGGAATCTTTAGCCTAAAATGTCCACTTTTTTTTGGACAAGCTCACATTGGAGACTTCTGAACTGATTACTAATGGTCTTATCAACATGAAATCTGACTAGCTGTAACATTTCAAGTCTTCTCTCCCTTTTGCCTTAGAAAATCGCCTATGTGGCATAGTTTTGAAATGTTTAAGAAAATAAAATTGTCAACAAAATTCATGATGGCCGCCGTATCCATGGTGACCGATGAATTTATGAATTGTTTAAAGGTGTCGATTTTCATTCTTTCACATAAGTATCAACATATACTAGTACTAGCTTCACATGTTCTCTGATTAAAAAGCTGGTTTTCTACTTATGTCAAGGTAGCGATACCCCTTAACCAAACAAATTATATACACACACCAATAAAACCAAACTTTTCCTATAGGTAGGGCATTAATGCCCACTTTTTTGTGTGGCTCAAGATTTCTGGAAACTTCCGAAATCTGAATTAGCCCGCTTCTCCTTAAAAGTTAAAAGCAATCATTTTCAAAAGGTGTTGATTTATTCATTTCTCCCCTGTGTTCGCCAGAATCTGCTACGTGCAAGGACAAACTATCTATGTGCGCTGACTACGGCAAGAGCGTCTGTGAGACTCAGGACTACGCCGCGTGGACCAGGGAAAACTGCGCAAAATTCTGTGGACACTGCGGGGAAACTGGTACGCTAACATTATATATA